GAACATAGAAAAGTCAGGCTTTTATCATTGTTTGAAAAGCCAGGAATCACAAGAAAGCAGCTAAAATTTGGAAGATATGGGCAAAGAAAAAAAAAAAAAACCAATATTGCAAGAATCAACTGTGAAAAACCTGCAAAAGTGATGGTCTTATTTGGACTCAAAAGAAAGGGGATTCAAGGATATATGTTTCAACAATTTTAAATTATCTGAGTATCCAAGGGGCAGCAAACTGGGAATATGGGACAAACTATTACATAGGTGGTTCTGATACTCAACAGTGCCACTGGAAATTTCCCACGAGAGACCTCAAGATCACATCCTAGGAAAAGTGCACAATATTTAAAGGGTCAATGGTAACATCTGCTTTGTATGTGGGGCCACCTGTTGATCACCTTGGTACTCTGTATGTAGTTTTGCTTGACTGTCAACAGGGCTTCAGTAGCAGATGAGAAGGATTTGAGGGATGAGAAAGATAAACTTATTTCAAAATAGCTTTTTCTTCTGTTTAAAAGTCCCACTCACTCTGTTGCCCAGGCTGGAGTGCAGTGGCATGATCTTGGCTCACTACAGCCTTGACCGCCTAGGCTCAAGTGATTCTCCCACCTCTCAGCCTCCTGAGTAGCTGGGACTAAGACAAACCACCACGCCTAGCTATTTTTTCCCCTTTTTGTAGAGATGAGGTCTTGCTGTGTTGACCAAATTGGTCTCAGACTCCTGCCGCAGCCTCCGAAAGTGCTGGGATTACAGCTGTGAGCTGCCTTGCCCTGCCAAATTCTCACTTTTAGACTTTTTCTTTTGGCTGGGGGAGTCTCAACAAAGCATTTGTTAACATGCAAATATGTCACTTTGGGAGAGAGGATACACAATGATCAAAGGAATGAGTTTAGTAGTTACATAAGACAATTGAGTTTTCTTAGTTAAAAAAAAAAAGAAACTGCTCTTTGGAGTGGAGACACCACTGCTAAGCGGTGGAGTGGAGACACCATTGTAAACGCCTACCTTTATTGAGGTGAGGAGCCCTGGCCTGTAGGGGGCAGCAGGAGGTTCACCCTGTCTGCTGGGAAGGAGGAAACTCCAAGATGCAGGAAAAATTGGCAGAGGAAGGGGAAGTGGGCCAGGGCTCAGGGTGCTGGGAGCTGAGACTCCTGACCTACTTTCAAATTCTGCTTGGGCCAGACCTGGCATTGCTTCGGGAAAAAATAAACACAAAGTATAGGAACACTTCTGGCCCACTGATACAGAATGCATGCTTTCACAGATTTCCCTTTCCACTTTGAAAACAAAGCTGCCTGAAAGAACTGTTCCCTCCAGCCCCCACTCTCTGCAGCCTCTTTATGCCTCCCCACACCCAGCACACACCCTACCCCACTGGCTCATTACAGTCTTCCATTTTCTCAGAGTGCTTTTAATTAGATGTTAAATTGACAATAGCACCTAACAGAATTTTTACAGCTCTATTTTGGAATACTTTTTCCCCCAGCATATGGTGGAACTATCAAGTATTATTCTCCTTCCTCAATGTTTTTTTTTGAATTTAATGTTTCATTGCTCATTTTAAGCCTTCACAATCAACTTGGACACACACACACACGGATTTGTGATGAGAAGCTATACTAGTTTGCATATAAGGCAATTAAATCTGGCAGCTATGATTCCAAAGGATGAATATTTTCCAGTTGTGGTAGGAGGCCAATCATACAGAAAAGAAACCAGCTGTTTCATGTTAGTTCCTGATGTGACTTTTCACACAGATGCTCATGTCACAAAATTTATTTACTGTTAAGATGCACTGTGAGATCATTGTGTCATCTTTGTTCCCCTCTCAAATCCCCAATTCTTTCTGGGAAAATGAGAATTATCTATGTTATGGCCATGCAGCCTTATGTAACCGTGTCCTGCTGAAATGTCAACTTTGATTTTGTATTTTAGCTACTTAATGGTTTTCTTCAATAACTGTACTGAGCAAAGTATTCTTCACATCCCAGTTGGAAGAGAGATCATTTCATTCATTTTACCTTGATGTGTGCTCGCTTGGTATTGAGGATGTGCAAACAACAGCTTCCTCCCAGCCTTTCAAAATCATCATTCTCATGAATTCCAGCAGCACTTTTCAGGGAATTTAGTCAAGCAGGACTCAGGTCCTTATGCTGGCACTTTTTGGTAGCAAAGTGAATATTTAGAATTTCTGACTTGAGTTTTTAGCTCTAAACTACATGAAATACTTGTTGAGTACTTTGTGGTTAGGATAGCTGGGTGGCCCAAAGAAAGGACAGTAGAAGAGGAACTGGAAATGGAAGGTACATATCCATGTCGCTTGTGCACCATATGCAGTGACATCTGTCTCAGAACTAGCACTCTTTCTGGAAATCTCCAGAGGACTTGTCCCATGTCCTCCAAATCTAGATATGCCTCATGATGTAATCCTGAGGCAACAAGTGTATTAAAATGAGTACATTCTAATACACCTACAGTTCAAAGTTTGCTCTAATGCTTAGAATGCAGTACTTCACCATCAACAAGAAAATTTCATTTAAAAAAATTTTCTAAGGTTCCATCTTCAATTTTGTGACCTGATATTTCAAGAGCACCACAATCCCTAAAATTCATTTTCTTTCCCTTAGAAAACAAGAGGGAGGCTTTATTCAAGTACGTCACCATGTTTGCTGGGCTGCAGGCTCATTTGGAACAGAGGCAAGGTTTTTCCGTTTGGCAGACATACATGGTTGATTTTTAAAAGTACTTTGGTTTTATTTTTAAGTTAACATTTATGCAATGATTGTGGGACCATTTTTATTAAGGATTAGATCAGAAAATAAGTGCTGGTGTCTACTCATTTTATAGCAACAGCATACAAAAAATGGTTGATCTAAATGTCTTCTTCGGTTTGCAGAAAAAGTGCCATTTTGTTAAGTAGGTGGCTTTTAAACAGCAGCACTACTTGGCAGCGCTCATTCAGAAGTGATTCTTTCCATCAGTTTAAAACACAACCTGAATTACAAGCAGAGAAAAAATATACAATTTCCTTGGGTGCTGACTTTCCTGGCCCCACACTTTCAGCTCTTGAGGAGTAAAACTCTCACAGAATCTGTTATAAATCTGAAGACATCTCATGACCCATGTGATGTTCATTTTACTAAGAAATAAAATAAGAAGTACTCAGCTGGAGGAGAGAGAGGTAATTTGAGGGCACTGCTACACTTTGTCAATTAGTGTGTGAGTCACTTAGATGGAAGGTATCACACAGAGGCCTCAGAGGAAGAGTTTATTCTAAAAGGCCACACAAAAGAATAAGATAGAGTGGTCTTCTCTGAACAGCTAACTAATGCCTCTAGACAGGGGGTGGCAAACTATGACCCTCATGAGCCAAATGTGGCCCACTGTCTTTTTGATTATCTAGGGCTGCCTTTGAGCAGCAACAGCAGAGCTAGATAGCTGCATGGAGACCTTAAGGCCACAATGCTTAGGATATTTACTAGTTGGCCCCATAGAGATAAAGTCTGCAGACCCTGGCTCTAGAGAACAGGCCTGGAAGCTGGCTGTACTTCTGAGTGTTAGGGTAACTTACCTAAAGATAGATTGGAAAGTTTTATGACTATAAAGTAATAGTAAGAACAACTATAGCATCTTTACTTTCTCATATTCTTGGAGCTGTTTTGAACAATTGATTAGGTTATCATACGATCAAACAGAGAGGACTTCCGGTGACATACAGATGCTATGACTGGGGTGGGGGAGGTAGATGACTCCTCCCCTCGGAGGGCCTCTGGAGAGGCTGAATGATAACTGAAGGAGAAGGTTTTCTTTCAAGTTCCTGCTGTCTTCTGCACCCTTAGGATCTTACATGATACACAGCAGATGGTTTAAAATTCATGCGTTTTAGATTAGATTAGTGTTAAGCCTAATTCTTAGTTTTACACAACTCCATAGTTTCTTCTAAAAAGGACTCAATGTCAAAGCAAGCACTTGGAATAGGAAAAACATGCAGAACATGTGATCAAGTTCTAGAATCATGGAAAGCCAAGGAGACACAGGGAACATGTTACATGAGCCTGGGCATGGTGGATATGTGCCAGCCCTTGGACTTTAGCCAATCTGGCAGCTGTGAGGGGGTCATCTTTGTTGCCACATGGAAAGATGGTGCCTAAAAAAAACCCAAGAGTGGGCAGAGCTAGGAGACTGTGGGAAACACTAAGAGGGGGAGGAAGGAGAGAGGGTGAGACGAACCAAGTCCTGATAACACAATGAGGATTTACAGCCAAATTTGTCTGAAGGAACCTTCTGAAATTTTCATGTATATCAGCCAATAAATTCTCTTTTGTCTTTAACTAGTATGACTTGGTTTCTGCCACTTGAAACTGAAAGAGTCCTAATACACTAAGAACATTCTTCTACTTACAATAACTAAACCTTTACTAACAGATATATTGTTTCAATTGTGGACATTAGCAAATATACAGGGCTCAAAGAAATGTTTTCTATCAAAATCAGCAGCAGGGCAAGGCAGGACCAAAACCATATTGGTGCACCATGTTTAAATTCTAGTCTTAAAGATACCCAAGAATGGGATTCTGTCACTAAGCTTATGTGAGATGTTTCTGAATTTCGTTAAGGGAATTCTTCTCATTTTATAATTATAGTGCTGGAAAATATTTTGTTTTCCTAGTAGCATTCATGATATTAGCCTTTCGGCAATTAGTCAAAAATATTATTTTTTGAGGTTTCGTTCTTTGTTGGGGTTTTGTTCTACATCATTCATATAGTTTGGGGCCAACTTCAAACTCCAGTGAATTATGTCTATCAGGTTTCTTTTTATTCAAATACTTTATCTTCTTTTTTATTCCCAAGATAAATGCTACTGCCTGCAGGGCTTAAAACAATCTGCTCAAGAGTTATTCTGTGATGCTTATATATTAAATAAACAATGTTTTCCATCTGATACTTTTACCTATTTGAACGACTCAAGTATCATACATTTATAGTTTCTGTGTTGAATCACTCACCAGTTGTGTAATTCAGCAAAGGCAGCTTTGATCTTCTTCACAGAACTATCCACTTCTTCCTTGATCATGACGCGATATCTAGTTAGAGAAACAGTGCAGCGTTGCAAATCCTTCACTGATTTCTCAATATTTGGGCCTAAAATTGATGTCAAAAAATATGATTAACTTGAGCATTTTATCTTTTGTTTGTAAGATAAATAACAAAACAAAGCAACCAGCCTAGCCCACCAAGAAAAAGGGATTCGTCTTTTGTCTAGTAAAAGTTCCATCAGGAGAGTGTTTGTAACCCAGTGTGGGTGGTTTGCATGGCACCTGAGGCTGCTATGATTTCACCACTGGGGTCTCTGCCTGGGCCATCTAGGGTATACTTGTCTCCTGTACTCTTCAAAAGGAGGCTGTGATCATTATGTTCTATTACAAACTGCAGTGCCTTAGAATCTGATGTGTCTAAAGACCATTTGTGCTGCTGGCTCTCTCTATAAACACCACTCTGCATGGTTAAAAGCCAGCAGGGTTTTTGGAAGAGGAAAATGACACAGAGATTGCCAGAGGTACAAATGAGCTAGAGAGAGGATGGGACACTGGTGCCAGGTATGCTGGCACTAGCCCCATCATCCAAAGCCAGGCCTGTAATAAGAGCGGCAGCACTGAAAGCAGCTCTGTGGGTGCCCATTTCGCCCGATTTCCTGAAACTGTCACCAGGGTCTACAGGTAGTGCATCACAAATAGGCAGATTGTACTTAACACAATCAAGGCCATGTTTCTTAGAAGAAAGAAATCTCCCTCAAGAAAAGTGAGAAAGTAGATCAAACCAAAGCCAAGGAAATCAGATACAGCTGAGGCTGAATGAGAAGAATATTATTTAATCTTCTGGGAATCAGAAAGGAAGTGATTTTGATTTTTAATACAAGTTATGTATCAAGTATATCCAAGCTCAGAAAAATCATAAAAACCCAGTGTGTCAAATATAAAACCCTCTTTCCGAGTTACACTGTCTGTAAATTCTAACACAGAACTGAATTTACATGGGGAAGACCATATCTGAAGAACACATGCCAGCCTCCAGACTCATCTTTCAATGCAAGTCAAGCACTTGTGTATCAGGGAAACACGAGTCCCTTTCAGCACTTAAATTTTTAAAAGAGCTCCTACATGAGCACTTGCTTTATAAGATATTAGAATAGAAGGTATTTGTGGTACAAGTTTATCCATGCCTACAACAAGAAGAATGGTCTCAGAGGTGCAGAGAAGAGATGTAATTCCATTTAAATATTCAAGACCTTTGATTACATGGGAGGAATCACATCTGCCTTTCCATCTATGTGGGTCACAGAGAAAAATGCAATTTCATGTGCATCTCTCTTCACTAAGCAGCAGCTTTTGGAAAGTTCTGTCACTCTGGCACTTTTCTCTATGTGCAAAATATGTTGAATCATTTGTGCAAAAGAAATCACTTTACCTCTTTTCTTTGCCAACTCATCTGGCTTTATTTCAAGATGAGCTGCAGGGGCATTGGACTTAACAGGAGATGTTTTTGCCTTAGGCTTGCTTGGGTTACAAGGCTGCTCAGCTGACCACTGTAGGCCATCTGACCTCTCTGTTGTTCCATGTATAGGTTTGGGGTTCCCATCTAAGGATAGTTTCTGTTGCAGTAGTCTGTTGCCTTCTGTAAGAAAACACCAAATAATGACTGTGAAGTGATAAACTAAAAACACTTATGATAAAGTGATGGAGGATGCCAAGATTTCTGTTTTTATTTACATGTTGGCAATAATGCCTTTCACTGCAAACAGCCAAGAAACTGTTGAAAAAGAATCCCCAGAAGATTAGAGGATGTACTAGAAGAGCCTTGTATTTTGAGTAGGAAGACCTGGGCATGTTTTGGCTCAGTAATTACTTGCAGAGTGACCCTGGGCATCTCTAGCCTTAGTTTCCTCATCCATAACTATCCAGTAAGGTTATTAAGAGGCTTATAGGAGATGAGCAGGGCCTTTTCCCTCCTGCAATTCCAGTAAAGGCTATGAGTCTTTAAGTACAATTTCATATTGAGGCTATAAAAATGTAGCCCTCCTATCTCCAAGTGCTACATTGATGTCTTGTGATATTTTATTCTGAATTAATGAAGGCAGAGAGTGATTGGAGAGAGAGCAAAAATGAAGTGACAACAGGTACTATAATCATTGCATCTAATTTATGAAGGGCTTAAATCAGAAAACATCATCATAATATCTCAACTATACTTAATATCTAGGGAGTCAGATTCTCTCTGGAGTTTTAATAGATGTGGCAATAAATTAGCAGGATGTTGCTTTTGGCATCTTTTAAAGATAGGTTCCTATTTAGTTATTGCTGGAGTGAATTAAATGGCACATTAGTGGCTTGAAAAGGAAATGTATCACACTTAACATCTTACTTACTACTAGAGAGAGCTTTGGGTGTGAGAAAGAGGAAGCCAGTATGCTTTCGAAGGCCATGTTCTTGCAGAAAGCTTGAAGAGTGCAGTTTGTATCTGGGAGAACCAAGTTCTGGTATTTCCTATGTCCTGGATGACCTTGTGGGAATGCCTTCACTTCTCTGGCTGACTAGATTGCACTCAGACAGAACACAGTTATCTTTGTGAAACCCAGCATTTTCAGGTAGTCACCTTTGCCCCACTTCTCTCTACTTCCATGTTGCCTTGCTTTACTTAAAACCATAGTACTATGGTTATGTTTTAACACAAGCCTTCCCGTATCTGCCCCTCGCCCCTGCCTTGTAGAGGCTGTGATCTTCCCAAGGGCTAACACTGACACCAATTCTTTTTTGAAGTCCTAGTACTTGTATCTGGCTGAATGGCTTTCTGTAGAATTATGACTGAATTAAAGTACATTTGAAACAATTTCATGGAAAAAATTTAAAAAATGAACATCTTACCCGACATAGTCACAAACATTACAGAGACTACACTAAAAAAAACACAAAGGAATATGATCTAGGTCCTGGTCAATTTGATTTTAGACATTAGTCCATTCATGATCAATATAATTAGACTTCAGTTGAATCCATCATTCATAACTTACATATCAAGAAAGCACAACATACTTTTTATGAGCTGAATGATGAATACCCTTAAAAATTTACTCACAGTACACAATAAACTGTTCAGCAAAGGTAGTAAATGAAGTATATAAGTACTGAAAACAGTATTTCCTTCAGTAATAAAACAAATTCAAATGGTAGTATGCAATTTTATCCTTAGTTATATTAAAGTAGAACTTCACTATAAGGCACTGGCTGTCAAACTCCAGTGTGAAATGAGTTTCACAAATATTAATAATGCCAACAAATATTAATAATGCCAACATTTGCTCAGCTTCTGGTGAGGGCCTCAGGAAGCTTACAATCATGGCAGAAGATGACTTGGTACATATTACATATGCAAGTTCCCAAACACCATTTCTAGAGATTCCAATTCAGCTGTGGGCCTAGGCTTCTCCTCCCGAGGTGATTCTATTGGAGTGGAGATAGGTGGTACCAGCCACCCTGAGAACCCTACTGTAAAAGATAAAAAACTAATTTTATGTTGAGTCTATAAACATTTGTGTTAAAACAATGATTATGTTCAAGCTGGTTCCAAGTCACTACATTTCTAAATCCCAGCTGAGAGTTAGTCTTGATGAGATATTATAAATTGAGAATTCTGGGTTAGGCTGTTTTTGCATTGTTGTAAAGGAATACTTGAGCCTGGGTAATTTTTAAAGAAAAGAGGTTTATTTGGTTCATGCTTCTGTATGCTGGACAAGAAGCATAATGCCAACATCTGCTCAGCTTCTGGTGAGGGCCTCAGGAAGCTTACAATCATGGCAGAAGATGAATGGGAGCCAGCATGTGGTGAGAATGGGAGCAAGAGAGTGAGGGGAGAGGTGCCACATACTTTTAAACAACCAGATCTCACATGAAGTAACTGAGCAAGAACTTGCCTATCATCAAGGGGATGGTAAACCATTCATGAGGGATCTGTCCCCATGATCCAATCACCTCCCACCAGGCCCTACCTCTGACATTGGGAATCACATTTCAACATGAGATCTGGAGGGGACAAACATTCAAACCATTTCAAATTTAAAACACAGATCTTTGTGTATAGTGTCATAAAGAGACCTTAGTCCTGAAAATAATGGGATTTATATTATAGCTTAATGGAAAAAATGACCTTAGAACAGAAGGGAAAAAATTATTGAAATAAAATGCAAAAGAATTTTAAACGGAAGCCAAGCATGCAAATGAGTATGGGCTCATTAACCTAGAGCTAAAAACATCTTGTTTGTGTATCAGAGAACTGATATGTGGTCTACTGGTTCATTTCAACATTCATCCAACAAATATTAATCGAGAAATGTGAGTAGCAATATTTTTTTTAGGTCCTGAAAAGATGTCTCATTACTAGTGGAATCATTGAACAATAAAATCTTCAAGACCGCTTGCACATATTTGCATACTGGCTGTACAGATCTGTCTTCAAATACAGTAAAACTCTGGGACTCTTGCAGATGAAAACTGGTAGAGAGTTATAGAGCAGAAGAGAAAGTCACTGGATACGGTGACTTTCCTCTAACATTATAGGCCAGAAATACCATCAGCTCTCCATCTATCTGGAGTCCACTTGTAAACTTCAACAGGCTGTAGCTCAATGGGGGCTGATTCAGACATAAGCCTCCACTGTCCAGTAAGATAGCCACTAGCCACGCGGCTATTAAACACTGGAAATGTGGCTTGTCCAAATTGAGATGTGCTGTCAGTGTAACATATATGTGGCAATTTGAAAATTTAGTACAAAATTAAAAATTTAATATATTTCTTTAATAACTTAAAAATATTGACTACATGTTGAAATGCTATTTTTGATACATTAAGTTAAATATATCATCCAATTAATTAACCTGTTAACACCTTTTAAACGTGGCTACAGAAAATATAAATTATATACATAGCTTGAGTTAAATTTCTATTGGATAAACACTAATAGGATACACAAGGAGCGTGAGGTTGTTGATCTACAGTGCATAATCACTACTAGTTTATATTCTAAAAGAGGATATTTCTTTTAGTGAAGCCTTAAAATATCCCCTGCAATTTCTACATGAGAAAAGTGGTGACAGTGATGTATGTCTTGTTCATCATTACTGTATATACTTGGTATCTCATAGGTACATAATAAATACTGAATGAGCGAATCAGTGTTACTTCAGTGCTATGCATGCCTATGGCCCTTCCAATTGTAGGGAGCCTAGTTTGATATGAATCTCTGGCTGTGTCTTTATCTAATATTCATCAAATACTTGAACCATAGTAGCCATATCTTGGAAAGAAAAGTTATCTCTGCAAACATTCCATCTGCCTAGATTTTAATAAAAACTGTATACATTTTAACTTAATCCTTGTCCACGTATCTAAAAATGGCTTCTAGAAGTTTGTGTCTTTCAATTTAACTATTAATTGAGCCTTCCTTTTATCAAAAACACTTATCCCAGCATAAATGGTATACAATGTCCTGAGTATTATGTTTAGTTTCTGATTCAAGGCCTCGACAGACACATATAGAGAGTGCACGATGTATCAACTCTGGTTTATTAATAGGCAATAAATGAGAAATAGACGTCTGACCTTAATAACTAGTATGCACAATGTGAAAAAATTTCAAATCCCAAATGTTGGTTTGGGATTTGAATACAGGAATACAAGTGCTTTTTAATATATTGAACTTGTATCTAGCAACCTGGCTAATTTCCTCATTCGTTCTGGCAGCTTTATTTATTTTTTTGGTAGATTTCCTAAGATTTTCTTTCTATATACACAATGACGACGTTGGTAATAAAGTCCAACTTCTTTTCCAATCATTCCTTGCCTTATTTTCCTGTCTTATTAATTCTAACTACAAATCAGAATGAGCATCCTTGCATTGTTCTAGGTCTTAGGGAAATTGCATTCAGTATTTTGTTAAGTATTACATAGCTGCAGAGTTTCCATGTACTCATTAGACTCAAGAAGTTCCCTTGTATTACTACTTTGCTGACAGTTTTTGTCAAGTGACTTTTTTTATTTTACATATTGAGATGATAATATCATTGTTCTCCTTTATTTTATTAATTAATAATATTATGATTGTTTTTCAATGTTAAAAGTTCAGTTCCTGAGATTAACCACACACACTTGGTCATGGTGTATTATCCTTTTATATATTGTTTACTTCATTTGTAATGTTTTGTTGAGAATTTTTGTTCTGTATTCATTAACAATATTGTTCTGCAATTTTCTTTTCTTGTAATAACTTTGTCAGGTTTTGATATGAGTTATGCTGGCCTCATAAAATGAGTTGGGAAGTATTCCCTTCTTCCTATTTTCTGAAACTGTTTAAGGTTGCAATTATATTTCTTCTTCAAATATTCGTGAGAATTCACCAATGAAGTCAGCTCGACCTGGAAATTTTAATTATGAATTTCTTTACTAGGCATGGGGTTATTTGGATTTTCTATTTCTTCTTTTGTGTTTTGGTAAGTTGTGTCTTTTAAGAATTTGTCCATTTCATTTAAGTTTTTAGATTTATTGGCATGAAGTTGTTTATAATACCCTGTTATTAGCTTTTAAATGAATGAAGAGTCAGGGTTAATTTTATTCCCGATATTGGAA